CGCCCGCCGCCGCCGCGCCCGGCAATGAGTACTGCGCGCTGTTCGTGGCGCTGATCGGGGAGGGCGAGGCGCCGCAGGGCGTGCTGAGCACGGGCGAGGGGCGTGTGGTGCGCGCCTTCCACCGCTTCACGCTGGTGGACCAGACCGGGCGCGGCGGCGACGTGTCCAAGGGCCGGCGCCGGGACCAGGGCGCGGTCAAGATCTCCTGTTCCCGCGCCGACCCCCAGGCCCGCAACTGCCACGGCTACCGCAAGTTCGTCAAGCGCAGCGTGCTGGAGGACCCGGGGCGCGGCCTGCTGGTGGGCGACACCATCGTCATCCGCTACCACATCCAGCTGGTGGTGTCCACGGGCGGCGCGCTGGCACGCGCGGGCGCGGCGCCGCGCCGCGGCGTGGTCGTCCCCCCGCCCTCGCTGGGGCCGGAGCTGGCCTGCCTGCTGGACAGCGGGGAGGGCGCCGACGTCAGCTTCGAGGTGGAGGGCCAGACCATGGCCGCGCACAAGATCCTGCTCCAGGTGCGCTGAGGTGGGGGAAGTTTCTTGCTTTTTTGTTACGGGGGGGGTCATTGGTACCCTTGCCGATCCTGCACCCTGCAGCCACAGCCCCCCCCGTGTCGTCATGCCACACCCGCCATCCCCCCTCGTCCTTGTTTGAACCCTCCACCCTCTCACACGAGCACTGCTCCAGGCGCGGTCCCCGGTGTTCAAGGCGTTGCTGACGGGGCCGATGCTGGAGGGGCAGGGGCTGAGGCCGCGCGTGGATGTTCAGGGCGTGAAGCTCCCCGTCTTCAAAGTCCTTCTGCACTTTGTGTACGCCGACGACCTGCCAGAGGAGCTGCAGGGTGCGCGCCGGGGTCGGGGCGGGGGTGTGCAGTCGTGACTGTATGAGGGAGGTACGTCAAAGCCCTGCTCCGTCCTGGCCATGCGCCTCCTCCCATCCCACCTCGACCCCACTCTTCCTCACTTTCCTGTTCCCCCGCAGACAACCGCATGGAGGTGGCCATGGCCCAGCACCTGCTGGTGGCCGCCGACCGCTTCCAGCTCATCCGCTTGCGCGGAATCTGCGAGCAGCGCCTCTGCGTCAGCATCGAGGAGGAGACGGTGGCCACCACTCTGGCCCTGGCCGAGCAGAACAACGCGCTGGAGCTGAAGCGGGTGTGCCTGGAGTACGTCGCCCTGCACCTGAAAAAGGTACTGCACTCGTGTGTGAGATCTGGTTGTTTGTGTGTGCGTGCGTTTTGCAGGGTGTTTAGTGGGGTCGCGGTGGGCTTGCCCGTCGGCGGTGATGGAAGCGCCCCAGGGATTTAGAGAATGGCGATGACTCATGCCGTTACGTAGCGAACCGGCCCTTTATCCCACGGGTTGCTGCAGCGGTTGCATGGATGGGAATCGCCACCCACCTTGTCTGGCGTGAGACATGCCTGGGACAACAAAAACTCCCACCCTAATGTTGCCACCTGCCCTCATTACTTGTCGTCCAGGTCATGGCCACCGAAGGGTACCAGTACCTTATCTACACCTGCCCGCAAGTCCAGTCAGAGCTCCTGCAGGTATTGTGTCTGGATTGTGGGGGTGGAGTTGCTGTTGCAAACATGAACAGAGAGGGTGAAAGGCCAGGCTTCCCAATCTTCTGCACTACTACTCACCTTGCTTCACTCCCCACCCCTCTCCAACCCACAGGTCATCTCGGGGCTCAATCGGTCAGCGGGTACAGCGTATCTGCCCGCCGGCCTGGCCGCAGTGAGGGCCGGGGAGGACGAGGCAGACGTGATGGACCAGCTCCACCACAACCTGGGGGTGGGCGGGGAGTCGTCTACGGAGGGCCACATGCGCCGCGTTCGCGCACGGCACGACTGATGGGCCTCTCCAGAGCAGCTTGCCGTTGTTCACTCAGGCAAAGGACCGCGGACAAGTCAGCACTGCAATGCGCAATACTCTACGTGGCATGCAGTTCCTAGAAGTTGCGCGCCAGCCAGTTTCTTGGCAGGCCGCCGGCGCATGTAGGGCCCCCTCCCTTTGGGAGACACCAGGCTCTGCCCTGGTCGGCAAGGCCCCAAAACTTTGCGCAGGCCCTCTGCAGTACTCTTTGTCGCTGGCAGTCGACCAGCGTGGCTTCCAAGCCGCATGTCGCGTTTGCTCAGCCTTCAGGGGGGTTGACAACCTCAATTTGCTGCTCGTCCCAGAAGCCGCCGTGCCCGCACCCAGGTGTGCCAGTACTGAATGCTGTTTACATTCCCTTTTTAATACGATATTATATGGTGCTTTGTGCGACCAGGCAGGGGGAGCAGTGTCGGAGGAACAACGATGCATGCACCCAACTGCTATAAGCAGTCCTCCTTGCCCCACCCTATGAGCCGGCTGATGGACCGACAGGCTTCACGCGGCTGGAGGGTACATGCAGCTGGCGCATCGCCCTCTGCTGCATGCTTTCTTTTGCGGGGGCCTGCAGGGGGAGCACCTTTCTCCAGGCAAAGTCCAGGAGGAGGAGGCGCCCCAGGATGATGCCAGCCAGACCGATGAGCGTGATCTTGAGCCCAAAGTTAGGACTGCATGGATGCGGGGTGGGAGGCTGTCAGGGAGGATTGGGGAGTCGTGGCTGAGGCTGTTCAAGGGTCACGTGTGGAACACAAGGCTGAGATGGCCGTGGGAACCCCGAAGATGTCGCTCATCTATCTCCCAGGCACTCACGTCTTGTTCCTCCTGGTGTCGACAATCCACTTGGCGATGCCGAGCAACAGTAGAGCCACAGGCACCGTCTTCCACAACACCTCCAGCCCGATCGGCATTTTGCCCTGGCAACGGGGGATGAGGGAGTGGAGTCGTTGCCGGGAGGCTCATCAAGGTGTCACAGGGTCCCGAGTGACATGCACCAGGAATGCCGGCAGTCAAGGAGCACCTCCAACACCGTCCGTCACTCACGGCATGAAACATGTTTGCAGCCAGGGGGGTGTCAGGGAAGAAGAGGATGAGGAGCTTCAGCACCACAGCGGCAGAGATCGTGACGCCCGCAGGAGGGACAGTCAGGGGCAGAGAGATCTGCATGGTTTTGGGGTGAAACTGTGTGTCAGCACTACATACCAGGACGGAAGTTTCTAGCGACGCTTGCTGGTTCCTAGATGGCCCCCCTGGGACCTACAATCTTGCGCGGGTTGGGAGAAGGTCCTCCAGCAGCAGCATGAATAAAGGGCTGCGTCACTAGATGGAAGGTGGGGTCAGTGAAGTAGCAAATAATGCACATGAGCTCGCACACTTATGCCTGCATGCTGATCATTCATGTGGTGCTCTCACCCTGCGGCTGCGCGATGGTGCCCGTCGATAACCATCCCCAGGTGTAGAGAATAACCTCGCTCCAGGCGGCAGCGTTCTCTGGAGACACCACCCCCTCACATGGAGAAGGGAGGTGGGACAGACGCGCCCCAGACCGGCTGGAGTACAGCATGTGTGCGATGAGATCATGGTACCGGATGCAACATCCAATGATGGTATTTCTAAGTTTTAGAGACTGGGGATGCCCTTTGCGACCTATGAACTGTTTCCCTGCGCGGTCGACGTACATACACATCGCGATTCGGTGCTCCCCCCAGAACTTGAACAGCGCGCGCAGAAAGCTGTCATCGCGACCCTTCCTGTTTCGCTGTATTTCTGCATATAAACATCACGCTACGCTACAACCTGAAGAGAATTGTGTGGAACTTCTCAAAATGCAAGCCGCTTGAGTTTTCCACTCTCTCATGGACCATGCTCTTGTAATCATTTAGTAGAACCCTGTAGTTGGCAAACATCACCATGCTGGCCCTCCCAGGGCCCCAGCATGTTTTTTCATACACGGGAGACTTCACATGCAATGGAGTTCCCATCGTCCTCCGCCAAGAGGGCGGCATGGGCCGAGGCACAGGATGGGCAGTCTGGGATGCATCCGTCACCCTGGCGCACTGGCTGCAGCACATTTCAGTGGAGCAGAGGCTCCAGCTCCTGCCTCCTGGGAAAGCCTTCCTGGAGCTGGGGTCCGGCACAGGGATTGCAGGCCTGTCTGCCGCAGCGTGCCTGGACCAGGGCTACGCCCACCTGTCAGACTTGCCTTCGGTACTGCCAGCCCTCCGGCATAATGTCCAGCTGAACCCTGCGGTGGGTGTGTTGTTGTGAAACCAGGGTGCAGAGGGAGAGAGAGCTGGATGGGTTGAGGGCAAAGAGGCCCCTCACCCAACCCACAATCATGGGGGCGTGGTTACATGTCCTCCATGGAGAGCTGTTTCCTGCCACACCCGCTCCGGCACCCAGGTCTCCTCCCGTGTTTCGGTGGTGCCCTGTGACTGGGAGTCTGTGGGGCGTGAAGCTCTGCCTGCGGCGCCTTATGCGCTTGTCATCGCAGCTGACTGCGTCTGGCTGGAGGCACTGGTGCAGCCCTTCATCAACGCCCTCCTCACCGCCACCGGCCCCAAGAGCAAGGTGCGCCCTGGGATGGTATGTTTTCAGAAGTCATTGTAATTTTGGAATGCTTTGGAGACCTCGGCGACCCACATGCTGCCGGTTGGTCTATCGATGCAAGCACCTTGCGCCGATTCTCTGCCGCTCTGGAGCTCGATCTCACCTACTGTCACCTGCCATATTCCATCGCACAGGTCCTGCTGGCTCACCAGTGCCGATCACAGCGTGTAGATGATGCCTTCTTCCCCAGGCTTGCAGCGGCATTCAAGGTCGAGCCCGTCTCTCAGCGACCTGGCGAGCCCGAGCGGGGCGCCATCGACCTGTACCTCTGTGAGCGTTTGGAATGAATTCTTCCTGGGCCTGTAGCGTTCCAGGCGTCGACCTTCCTGCTCTGCCTGCTTGCACTCTCGTGCGCCTTGCCCACCTTCCTGCTACCGTTGCTAACAGCACCTTGACTTGCCTGTAAACTAGTTTGAACTGCTCAGACCACAAGCGTACAGGCAGGGGCTTCAGTGCAGCAGCACTTCACGGTGAGTGCCTTAGCGTCATTCAAGAGAAGCCGTTCAGTGGCGCTCACCTCACCTGCCCTCCCTGCTGGGCTTGCAGATGGCGAGGCCCGCCTCCGCACCCCCCCGACTGCAGACCCCTCTCTTGAGCAGGGGCCGGAGCGTGGCATTGAGCAGGGCATGCACCCCGCTGTCGATGGGGTGCACGATGTAGGGGATGGTGGCCAGCCCCACCGCGGTGGGCAGCGACTTGGTCAGCAGGGGCACCAGCGCCTCCTCGGGCGTGTGCAGCGCCGAGGCGAGCAGCGCCGTCAGGCTGTGGCCTAGGCTGGTGGCCTGCATGGGTGAAGGGAGGGAGGGGTGGTACCTGTGCGACCTGAGTGTTGCAGGGTTCTGAGACTGAAGCGGGTCGAGGCTGATGCCGCCGAGGATGAAGGGGTGGAGGACAGGGCCATCAGGACCCTGTGCATGCCACCCATGCTCTGAAGTAGGCCAGGGCACTTCGTGGCAGGGTTGGACCCCCAGTGATCTTCCCCCTTTCCACAGGAGCCCGCCTGCGTCCCACCCACCTCAGCGGCCACGAGCAGCTGCGTCACCACCGCCACCAGCGTGTGGATGGTGTACCCGGGCGCCGCCACGGAGGCGATGAGCTGCCACACCAGGGTGTCCAGGCCCCGGTCCAGCGCGATGAGGTGCACCAGCCTGTGTGCGGTTTGGTGGGTGGAAAGTGAGGCATATGGAGGGGCAGGGCTGAAACGTGGGAAGAGGGTGCCCAGGGTCCGCAGGGAAGGAGGCTGGGCGCCGAGGCTGGCTGGCAGACGGGCCGCTTCCCGCCAAGAGCACCACGTCTTGCTGAGGGTGAGTGCTTTGAGGGATACCTCCGCTCGCCTTGGACTGCCCAACCACAGCCTTCCACGCCCTTCAAGGCACTCACAGTGGCACGTCCACGCTGCTGGGGACACTCTCCCCGCTCAGCTTGGCCCGGGCGTCCCTGTAGGTCGCTTGCCACTTGTCCACGGTGTCGAAGAGGACGTAGGAGATGGCGATGGCATAGGACAAGGGCACGCCGCCGGAGAAGAGCCAGGCGCCAAAGGCCTCCCCGACCTCGTTGGCATATCCCAGGTAGCGCAGGGGCCCGTCCCGGAGCGGGTCGTACTCGGTCTTGGGGATGCCGTCAAAGGTGCCGGGCTCCGACCAGTCCACACTCTCCAGCAGCCGGGCCAGGGGGTGGAGGTTGGGCGTCGGGATGGAGGGGTCCCGGCGCCCGGTCGTGTCCTCCTCCGTTCCAGCAGGCTCAAACAAGTCGATGTCTATGCCGTCGCCTCGCTTCTCCGGCCCACTGCTGCTCGGGGGGGCCCGAGGTGGTGGGGTATGAGGCAGGGTGGGCCTCCCATTGTCGCCACCCTGTGTGCTGCGGCATCGTCCCACAGCCCTGCGACAGGATGGGGGACGATGTACTGGTGCCGGCAAGAGTGCCAGCATGCTGCTGAGGCGGGGGCCAGGTGGGACCTGTACGGGAAGTGATCCACCAACTCTGGCGACGTGTTATGATTTATCAGGCAAACTGCAGTCCGCGCGCTGTACGATGCGTTACAATCCAGCACCTCCCTCGTTTTAGACAGGCGCCCGCTTTTGTGTTGTTTTGTTTTGCTTTGGGTCGCATCGCGGGGTCGGCATTGGGCCACATCTCAGGGCGCCAGATCTCAGGCTGGGCTCGACGACCATCTCCCACGCTAATACATCTTAGATCACATACCAATCACCATCCAATAGTTTCAGTGTTGGTCACTAACCTTTGGTATAGGAAATTTGCTTTTGAAGGTCGGGTTCTACGCCGATGGCCACCCACGTTTAGGGTGTCATCTGCCTGCGCACGATGCAGTGCTGATACTTATGGCGGACAAGCAGGATTGCCAGGAAGAGGTAGATCGCTTCCTCGGCGACCTTTCCTGGGCTTTGGATGCCGCGGATGAGGCTCGCGTGCTGTCGATGCTACGATCGCTGGTCCCCAGGCCTCCCATGCTGGGGGATGCCGTGGTGCAGGGCATGGACCTGCTGATCCGGGCCGGCCTGACCCATGCCAGCTCCCTGCAGCTGGTGGCTGATGTGTGGGACAGGGCTGCCCAGCACTGCGGCGCGAGGGACCTCATCCCCATCTTCCTGGCAGCCACCGGGTATGCAAGGGGAGAGCGGAGTGCATGTCAACTGATGCGCCTCGATCTGGGGGCGGCGCGTCCATGGCCAGCCTCTACATGGCCCCTGCCACCACCACCTGCAGAAAAGCTGCCCATGACCATGCTCTACCCCACATGGTAGGACCCTGGCGGGCGAGCGAGGCGACGATCCCCAGGACCCCGGCGTCCTGTTGCTCACGCATGCGCTTCGCGCGCTGGGCACGCTGGCACCCCGCGTGCATCGCGGCGGCACCTGGGTCGCCCGCGACGTGGCAGCGCTGGTCACGCGCCTGCTGCAGGACTGCGGTCCGCTGCCCCTCCCCGCCCTGGAAGCCTGCGAGGGGGTGCTGAGCGGCGCCCGGCGCGCCACCGCCTCAGGGCCCTGCGACCTCCAGACCGAGCTGGCGCTGGCCGGCGCGGCGCTCACGCATCACACGTTGAGGGGCCTTCCGAGCCCGGCGGGCGCTGCGGGACCGGTTGCCCCCGAGTACTGGGCCGAGGCCCTGTCGGCAGCCTGGGGCGGGGATCACACAAATCTACTCGCTCGGCTCCTCCAGGACCCCCCAGGGGGCCTGCCGGCCCTTGTCAGCCTGAGCATCTCTGAGATGTCGGGTTCCAGGAGGCGTTCGGGGGACGCCGGCGCTGCCGTCATCCTCGCCCTGAGCAGCCGCCTGTTTGGCAGAATCGCAGGCCCCCCCACCTATGACAGCACGGTCATCTCCTTCGACACTGTGCTTGCGGCAGCAGCGCGCCTGCTGCGCCCGGGCTGCGGCGCGGGCCTGCTGGCGCTGGCGTGCCTGGCCCTGACCCGGGCTGTCGCGGGGAAGGGCAAGGCCGCTGATGTGCCATGGGGAGGGACCCAGGACGGCTGGGCGGTGGCATGCATCACCGCCCTGCACTCCCCCATGGCCCCGGCCCTGGCGCCCCCGGCAGCCCACGCCTCGAGATCGCTGTGGTGCCGCATTCCGCAGCCGCACCAGGAGCCGGTCCTCCGCAGGCTGCTGCGCCAAGACGTGAGGCGGCGTGCCCGGTGCTGGGGTTCCGTTCGGCATCGATGCGGGAGCAGGGGGTGGTGGTTTCTTGACACGAATCACCCTGCTCTGAGCATTGGCCATGCACCAAACCACGCAGTGCACGACCTCCAGGGGGGCACAGCGTCGGGATGCCTTTGCATGGGCCCCACGCCGACCTCACGCCACCTGATCCCCACCTCCCGCCAGGCCCCTCCCGAAGCAGTTCGCGGCGGTCTGACCCTCCTCTCCAGCGCCGAGCACCCCTCCCTGCTTCCCCTGGCCCTGACCACGGCCACAGACGCCAGCCTGACCGAAGCATTCAGCGAAGAGCCCTGCACCTGGCTGGAGCTCGCCACGCTGCAGGCCTCGCTGCTGCTGCGCCAAGCCCTGCGTGTGGGCCGGGGCTCGCGGCCCGAGGGCCCGACGCTTGACCCCGGCGCGGCGCGGCGCCATATCGCGCACTTGCGGCGCCGGGCCGCCGGGCCGCAAGGAAAGGGCGGCAGGCTGCCTCTGGACCGCCTGCACGCCACGCTGGATTGGGCGCTGGAGGCGCTGGCTCGCCCGCAGGCCTGACGGTGGCGCTCAGCTGGGCATGCATCATGCTGAAGCTCCACCCCCCTACCCGCCTGCCCTCGCACGCAGCGTGTGACACTCTGTACGCTGAAGCCACGTCCCTCGCCCCCTGTGACCGGTCTACGTGGGTTCAAAAGCACAGACCGGGGCGGCGCAACCCCAGCAAGGGGGCCCTGGGCGCGCCATGCATACACCAGGCAAGTCTGAGGATCGCGTTTCTGAGCGCGCATGCGAGGTCGAGCGCGTCTCTGCCAGGCTGCCCCTCACTCCTTCTTCAGCGACAGGCTCACATTGGTCTTGCTGTACAGCAGCTCCGTGTTCCTGCCAGGAGGTTGATGATGCAGGAGGACTTGAGCAGGGCAGGTGTTTCCAGGGCGTTGCATCGAGGGGCGGGGAGATCCGCCCCCTGGCACCTCGTCCCCCCATACTCCCCCGGTCATTCCTCA